GATATATCTTCCGGTTAGAGTGTCGAGATGAAAGTTTTTAATTGTGTTATAAAAATGAATAATTGATATGATTGATCCAATCCAATTGAGGGAATTCCGACACTTCACTGCTTCGAACTATTGATTTTAATTTCATATTTCAATATTAAATTTTATTACACATTTGAGAGAACAATTCAACCTTTTTGATCCTTTAAATATTCTTCCATATCCATGTGGATACAACACCCCAAAACTGTGCTACAACTACAGCATTATTCTTTGGGCGTAATCAGGCGGCGACGGTGGTGGTGCCTCTAGTGGAGGCAATGGCGAAGTGGTCACAAATGATTTGGTGGTCACAAATGATTATGTTGTTTGTGACCACTATTTTAGTTGGTTGGCGACCAATAAACGATATGTAACCAATGAATTAGATAAAATGTGACCATTACATGATGTGTGACCTAAAAATTATTATTTTGTGACCAATAATTTGATGAATTGTGAGCTAGATATAATTTATATTCAATGAATGTGATGTTTGTGACCATAAATAAGTATCGTGACTTATAAATTTTGTGATTTGTGACCGATGAACAAATTGTGATTTTTAAATTTTTAAGTTGTGACCGATAAAAAAATTGTGACCTATGAAAATTTTGAATTGTGATCTAAAAATTTTTGCAGGAGTTGGAACAGTCGCCGAAATCAGAATAGTCGCCGAAGATGAGTTGTGACCGGAACGCTAGTCGAAATAGTCCCCGGAGCGGTAGGGGTGGTGGAAGTGGGAACTGTGGGATGGGATAATTGTATTATATTAGAATTAAATATTTAATAATAAATTAATTTAATAATTCATTATTTCATAAATAAAAAATTATAAAACTTGATTTGTGAAATTTGGAACTTGTTTTGGTATTTTTGAAATGGTGTAAAGTAAATACCTTATAAATGTATTGTTCCTTTTTTNTCATAAATAAAAAATTAAAAAACCCGATTTTTGAAATTTGGAACTTATTTTTGTACTTTTGAAATGATGTAAAGTAAATACCTTAGAAATATACTGTTCCCTATTGTTAAAGTGATCGTTTTAAAACTGTAGAACTTTTGTTGTCAACGTAACCCAATTGCTTAAGGTAGGGCTTTAGGCAATGCATAAGGTGCGAGTATATATATATTTTAACAATTTTGCTGTAAGTACATTAAGTTTGACATTATTAATGATATTGTTTTACGCGACAACAGTTTGGGACATTGGTTTTAACAAAACTTATTCAATGAATGACACAAGTTTACACACATCACACGATAACTATAATCAGGGGCGGAGCTAGGAAATATTTTAGGCTGGGCTAAAACTTTTTTTTTCTTCAATGAACTTGTACACTAAAAGA